CAGAATTCCCTAAGAGACAAGACTCTGGGCATGGCTGTGAGGGATTATTCAGATTAGGTTAATTGAGAGAGGAAGATACAATCTAACTTCTGGGCAAAGAAAAGGGAGAAACAGAGCTAATCACTATCAGTCATTACTTCAACTGTGAGCCAAAACAAACTCTTCCTTCCCTTAATTTCTCTTGTCAGATATTCTGCTGCAAGAACATGACAAATAACTGATCCAGAAAACTGCTATTGAGAAATGGGATCATTGCTGTGATAAACCTGATCATGTGGTTCTTAGATCTTTGGATCTAGTTGGCAGGACGAATGTGGAAGAGTTTTGAACTGTGGGCTAGAAAAGCCCTTGAATAGTATAATCAAAGCTTAATGGGGCCATTTTGGTGGGAACTTGGAATACAAGAATGCTGAGAGAAATGCAGACTGTGAAGGCATGGTTCATGTTGTTTCAGAGGGTCTCTATTGGGCTAGAAGTCATTCAGGTTATTTTATGGCAAAGAATCTGGCTGCACTCTGTCTATGTCCTAAGAACTTCTGTGAGGCTGAATTAAAAAGTAATTGACTGGGGCTGGAGAGATGGTTCAGCAGTTAAGAACACTGGCTGTTCTTGCAGAAGACCTGGGTTCGAATCCCAGCTCCCACATTGCAGCTAACAACTGACTGTAACTCCAGTTCCAGGGGATCCAACAGCCTCTCTGTCCTCCGTGGGCACTGCAATGGAAATAAGGACTTAAGCAGAAACTGGAATATTTTGGCTAAGAGTCTGGTTGGAGTCTGCCCATAGCTCTTTAAGAGCTTGCTTGTTTTAATTAAAAAAAGTAATTGACTAATTTCTTTGGTAGAGGAAATTTCAAAACAGCAAAGCATTCAGGATATGGCATAGCTACTGCTTAGTAGTACTCTTATCTAGGTCTATACTGAGGGAGAGTAAAAAGGGGAGCAAAAAGATAAGAAAAGTATAAAGTTTGGTGAGGAAAGGTATATGAGCAAGTTTAAAGTTTCACACAAAAAAAGTTCAAGCAATAAAGTAACTATAACTGTTCAAGAGAATAGCAGCATTACAGACAAATCTGGCACTTTGCACTGGGAAAACAGGAGAGGTATTCTGAGTGTAAGACTCTACCTATCAAAGGTTCTATCTTATGAAAATGCAAATTAATTTGAAAATAGAGAGCCTAAAGTAAGAATGCAGCTGAGCGTGGTTCCTTGCTCCTTGAAACAAAATGGCTAGGGAAGTTCTTCCTCACAGTCAGGATACAGAAGCTGGTTCAACTATGTTCAAGGAGCCAGGATCCATATCAAGCTAGCAGCAGACTTAACCATCTTGTTCATGTGATAGTGATTGGGAGGCATGAAAGATACAAGACTGAGGTGGTCACAGGTCCTTGAATCATGGTTCCAGACAAATCACTGAGGCCATATAATATATGGTAGGATCAGAATTTCCACAAGGAGGCCTGAGAGGCTACTGTGTCAGGCTGTGAAGGTGAAACTTCAGCTGCCAGGGAGACCCTAGGATGTTTGAGTTTCTATGGCCATGGGATGTTCACCAAGGAAAGTGGAAGGTATACACTGGTGCCAGCCCAAGAGAAAGGTTGTATATGTAGTGGTAAAGATGGGAGAGGGTTATCCAAGTTATTTTGGAGCCCAGATGATTTTACCAAGAGTCCCGGGTGACAGAGATGAGACTGCAGGATTTGGTGTTTGTCTTGCTGGCTTTCAGTCTTGCTTTGGTCTTCTTATTCCTTGCTATGCCCCAATTCTTCTCTTTGGAATGGGAATGTTTATTTTGTGCCATTGTATTGTAGAAGCATGCAACTTGGATTTTCATTTTATAGGAGCTCATAATTAAGAGATTGCCTTGAGTCTGGGATGAGACTTGGACTCTAGACTTTTAAACAGCGTGAGAATTGTTAAAGACTATGAAGAATTTTTTAAAAAGATTCATTTTATTTTTAACTATGTGTATGTGAGTATTGCATGTATGTGCAGTTGCCCATGGAGGGTAGAGGTGTCCAATCTCCCTAAGAGCTGGAGTCATGGGCAGTTGTCAACCACCCAATATAAGTACTGAGAACCAAACTCAGGACCTCTGCAAGAGCAGTGAACACTGTTAACCCCTGAGCCATCCCTGTAGTCTCAAGACTATGGGGGACTTTTGAAGTTGGACTGAATGTACTTTACATTATGGGGACTGTTGGGAGCTATTGATATAAGCTCATCCAATTATGAGCCAATTATGTACATTGAGCTGTGGCAGGCTTGCTTGTTACTTAGAGTTTGTGTCTTGCACACCAATACCTAATCTGCCAAGTCAGGAGGAATGTGTTTATATGGTGGAGTTCACAAGTATTTGACCTCTCTTTGACCCTCAGATACAGGTGGGAAAAAAAGCTTTTGAAACTAATTGAGCTAAGCAAATGGTGGCTATCTCTGAGGTTCTTCTGTATAAAAAGGCGGAGCTAAAATAAACCGGGGCTGCAGTCTCTGCTGACAGTCCTCCCAAGTATCTTTTCTCTGTCTCTTGTTTTTTATTTCAATCTTCACTCCCCCTTTCAGGTACTGTCTGTCTTGGCTGGCTGGCACCGGCAGGGGACAAGAGGTAAAAAGTTATGGCTTAAAAGTGATATGTATGGGTGTTGAGTTGGTGAGAGGTAGACTATGATGGCTAATATTGATTAGCAATTTGACAGTACCTAGAATCCCTGTGAGTATGTCTGTGTGGGATTATATAGATTTAGGGTGAAGTGAAAAGACCCATCCTACTGGAGGAAGGAAGAAGAAGAAGGGAGAAGAAGGGAGAAGGGAGGAGGAGAAAGAAGGGAGGAGGAGGAAGGGGGGGACTGAGCATGAGCATTCATTGCTTTCTGCTTCCAGACTGGGGATGCAATGTAACCAGCTGCCTCAAACTCCTACTGCCATGACTTCTCTGCCATGATGCACTTTACCTAGAACTGTAAGCCCAAATAAATCCTCACTTCCTTAAGTTGCTTTTGTCAGGTATTGTGTCATAGAAAAAAGACAAATAACTAATACAGTTACTGTCTATGGGAGAATGAAAAGTCAAACACGCATATATTTGTGTGTACACAGATTAACTCAGGATATACTAGAAACAAGTAGTATCTGTTGACTCTGGCAAAAAATACTGAGTGGCTTAGGTGCAGTGGTGTGAGGGAGAATTGAGTGGTTATTCTTTTGTACCTTTTGTATTTTGAGCTATATGTACAGAATTGTAAAGAAATAATACTAATTTCTTAAAACTATGACCTAACTCATAAAATTGAACACAAAACAACATGCTAGGTGTAGTGGTGCATGCCCGTAATTCTAGCACTAGGGAAGTAGAGGCAAAAGGATTCAAGATCATCTTCAGCTATATCGTAAGTTCCAGGTCAGTCTGGGAAATATGAGATCCTGTCTCAAAACAAAACAAAAAAGAAAACAAAACAGGGGCTAGAGAGATAGCTCAGTGGTTAAGAGTGTGTATTTCTCTTCCAGAGGACTTGAATTCAATTGCCAGCACCTATATCGTCAGTTAGCCCACAACCACCTGTAATTCTAGTTCCAGGGAATCCAATGTCCTCTTCCGATCTCTGAGGCACCTGTATGCATGTGGTAAACATACAGACATGCAGGCACAAACATATACACATAAATAAAAATATATAAATCTTTTTTTTGGTCTTTTTGAGACAGGGTCTCCCTCCCAGCTGGCCTCGAACTCACTATATAGACCAGGCTGGCCTCGAACTCACAGAGATCCATCTGCCTCTGCCTCCCAAGTGCTGGGATTAAAGGTGTGTGCCACCATGTCCAGCATGAATAAATCTTAAGAAAGAAAACAAGGGACTAGAGAGATGGCTCAGTGGATAAGAGCATTGGCTGTTCTTGTAGAGGATCTGGGTTCAATTCCCAGAACCCACATTGCAAGTAACAACTGTCTGTAACTCTAGCTCCAGGAGATCCAACTCCCTCCTCTGACCTCCGTGGGCACTGCACAACACTGGTGCACTTACATGCACGCAGGCAATACACTCATACACACAAAATTAAAAATAATAATAGGTAAAATATTTTTTAAAAAGAAAGAAAACAACATATACAAAACAGCATCCTGCATGATAAAACATATTTATATTACTATAGTATCATTAGTAAAAGATGATGATCCCATTCATCAAATAACAAGCTTGGTCATGGAAAGAGCTTAATTTTCCTAAGGAAGATGAATTATTCTCTTTGACTATAAAAATTAAATACCTACTAATCAAATTATATAATAAGGATAGTTGAAAAATCTTAACCCCAAAATTCTAAAGGACAAAGATTGAAAACACATAGAGACCAACATATGGTGGCACATACCTGTAATTCCAGCAGTCAGGAGGAGGAGCTCTACAAGTTTGAGGCCAACCTGACCTGAGGTAGCTACATAGTGAAACCCTGTCTCAAAAAGCAAAAAACAGCTAGGGCTATGCAGTGAGACTCTGCCCCCCACAAAAGAAAAGTCAATATAATTAAATCATTTTGTTAAATAATCAAGTATAACTACTCTTTTAAATATGAAATTATTTGTATATGATTTTAGCACTTGTAAATGTCTTACATCAGCATTTATTATAGTTTTAGTCATAGAAAAATTTTCATCATTAAAATGTCACCAATCAGGGTTGGAGAAATGGCTCAGCAGTTAAGAACACTGGCTGCTCTTGCAGAGGACCTGGGTTTGATTCCCAGCACTCACATGGCGACTAACAACTGTCCATAACTCCAGTTCCAGGGGAATCTGACAGCCTCTTTTGACCCCTGTGAATACTGCACAACATGGGTGCACCTACCTACATGCAGGCAATATACTCATACACATAAAAATTTAAAATAATAAATAAAATACAAAATAAAATGCCACCAATTCTAAATTTACTACAAAGCAAATATTAAGTTCTAAAAAATTCAGAATAGTTAGATTTGCTACAGAAGACAAAGTGTCCTTACTTTTCTCGTAATCTTTGAAGCTCCACTTTCAAGTCCTCATCCTCAATTTCTGATTCATCATCACTGCTCATTGGGGAAGATGGAGAATAGAAGAGTGAACTCTGTACTTGAGCATATGCTTGTTCTTCATGGAGTGGTAAACACTGATCGCTCTCTGGACCAGTTTTTGTCACTGACTTTCCATGACCAGCAAGAGTGGCTGAAAAGTCATTATCAGAATGGGGCTGTTTCCCAGGAGTTAGTTCCTCTTTTTCTTTATCTAACAGTTCAGCTCCACTACTTCCTGTGGTTGAAGTTCCTTCCAATTTCTTTTCTGTAGTCATTGAAGATATACTGGTCTCACAAGATAAGAAGATGTCACCTTGTTCAGGATCTCCTTTATCTTCTTTAAAAGTTTCATAAAGAGTTCGTAATTTCCAACAAGAAACTGAAGCTTTAGGATTGTGCATGGCAGGTTCCACTTCGACCAACTGAGATGTTGCAGCTTCAGCAAAGGCTTTATCTTGTTCACTAGACTGGTTTGCTGTTTCCTCGAATACTGGTCTATGTTCTACTCCAAAAGATGTTACTTTCATTGACTGCTGCTGAGGAACTGTAATCACCTGAGATATAAAAAGGCAAACTTTTCTGGCTCCACTTAATTAAAAGGGAAATCTTATAAAGAAACTCAGCACACACAAATGAAAAGTCTGCTGTGATATACATATATTTGGTAATATCAAAACTTATATTGCCCATAGCTGGGTGTGGTGGTGCACGCCTTTAATCCCAGCACTCAGAAGGCAGAGGCAGGTGGATCTCTGTGAGTTTGAGGCCAGCCTGGTCAACATAGGGAGTTTTAGGTCAGCTGGGGCTACAGGGAGACCCTGTCTCAAATATACCAAAAATACCAACCGCGCCCCCCCAAACAACAAAAACCCTTATATTGCCCACGTTAGGTCTTTCAACTGGGGATCCTTGGATAGAATGACTTTATATTAGTCAAAATCCCACTATTAAAAATGCCGAGATTTGGGCTGGAGAGATATCTCAGTGGTTAAGAGCACTGACTGCTCTTACAGAGGACCCGGGTTTGATTCTCAGAACCCATATGGCAGCTAACAACCATCCATAAGTCCAGTTCCAGGGGAATTTGATACTTTCTTATGACCTCCCTGAGCACTGCATAACATGGGTGCACTTACACACATACAAGCAATATACTTGTACACATAAAATAAATAATAAATAAAATATTTTAAAAACTATTTAAAAAGGACACAAAATTAAATTAATAAAAATGATGACCCTAGGGGCTGGAGAGATGGCTCAGCAGTTAAGAACATTGGTTGTTCTTGCAGAAGACCTGGGTTCAAATCCCAGCAATATTTAAGGAGTTGTAGAGATGGCTCAGCAGTTAAGAACACTGGTTGTTCTTGTAGAAGACCGGGGTTCGAATCCCAGCACCCATGTGGCAGCTAAAAACTGTCCGTAACTCCAGTCCCAGGGGATCCAACAGCCTCTTCTGACCTCCGCGGGCATTGCACAACACGGGTGTACTTACCTACACACAGGCAATACACACATACACATAAAATAAAAATAATAAAAAAATGAAGACCCTCCAAAAACCAAAAATTGATGATTTATTTCTATGCTCTCTTGCAACTACTAAACTCCCCATATTCTTTGGATTTACCTTTAATAATAGCTTCATATGCTGAGGAGATTTATCCAAGTTTAACAAATTAAATATGAAAAGATCTACACTTAAACTATCACTTATGAAACAAATTTTAAATGCTGTCACTTTTTTTATGACATTGCAGATAGAACCCAGGGTCTCAGAGATGATGTGCAAACATTCTACTATGGAACTGTATCTCCAGTCCCACTGTTTCCTTTTACAAGGATTCAATTATAAGGATACATAAGGATTCAACCAAAGACACAAACCTGGAACCGACCCCGCTGAAATGATCCACTCATCACTTTACATCTACTCAAAGCCCTAGTATCAGATGAGGACTCTCGTGTCAGGTGAGCGGGATCAGGAGTGATTGCTCTTTTATCTTCTGTTTCCACTGTAAGTTTTGTGAAATTGTAAGCAGAAAAGAGAAAATTGTTTTTTAAGACTAAATTTGTTTATATTACCCAAAACGAAGAAAAGTAGAAAATCTTTACCCTTGCTAGATAATAAAAAGTGTTAATGTAATAAGCAACATTGTTTAAGTCCCTAACTCTAAAGCAGACATTGCAAGATTTATCCCGAGACTTAGTATCTATATGAAATGAATAATTGGAAAACCAAATTAGTTACAAAAGGAAAAAATAAAATGGCAATGACATTAATGGGGCATGTTACATACATGTGCTGTGTGGAAAAAGTGGCAAGATTTGTATATGAACGACAAAAATAAAAGTAGATGAAAAGTGATGTTACCTAGTCTATGTCCCTGACTGTAAGCACACTACCTTGACGGACTTTTGATCTCTTGAAAAAGCTGGTTGACTGCCGTAGCCTGTATGCCCAGCTTTTTAATTTGCGAGTCCAGGATTTCTTGCTAATAGGATTTTTGAGACTAGGACAAGTAAAGCTTAGGCCAAAATATCCACCTCCTGTCTGCAGATGAATGGTTCCATCACTTGACACAGCAGCGGGATAGGCTTCTGGACCCCCTGGAAGTGAAGCATCTGGGGACATCTCCTAATGGAGACAAAAAATAAGAAAAACAAAGTGATAATCATTTAGATAAGGTAAGGTTTTTTTTTGGCATACTACAGTTTGTTATATGGATTAATCCTAACCAAAAGTAGTTACTATGCATTATCGCATTAATAGTACCATATCAGACTGAAACTAGCCTTGCCATTTCTTTTGAAATATTCAGACCAGATGAAATAAGAGAATATTAAATTTCAATGCCAGAGTATTTTCATCATTACATTAACTTTAAAACCTGAAATTTAAAATAAGTTATTTCTTTTTTATGTGCCAACTAACTAAAAATAATAATTTTTTTGTTCATTTAAGACAGAGTTGTATGGAACCAAGGCTGGCTTTGAATTCTCTATTTAGTAGAGGCTTGCCTTGAACTCCTAATCCTCTTGTCTTGATCTCCTAAGGGATGGAATCACAGGTGTGCACCATCACACCTGGCTAAAAATATTCATTTTTTAAAAAAAAATTATTATTACTTTCATTTTATGTGTATGAGTGTATTGCCTGCATGTGTGTAAGTGCACCCATGTCATGCAATGCCCTTGGAGGTCAGAAGATGGTGTCAGATCCCCTGAGACTAGAGTTATGGACGGCTGTTAGCCACCATGTGGGTGCTGGGAATAGAACCCGGGTCCTCTGCAAGAGCAGCCAGTGCTCTCAACCACTGAGCCATCTCTCTAGCTCCTAAAAATGTTCTTAAATTAAATGATAATTTATTTTTGTATTATTTAAGAGCATTAAAAGATGCATGACATTGAGCCAGGTGTGGTGGCACACCCCTTTAATCCCAGCACTTGGGAGGGCAGAGGCAGGCAGATCTCTGTGAGTTCAAGACCAGCCTGGTCTACATAATGAGTTCCAGGACAGTTGGGGCTACAGGGAGACCCTGCTTCAAAAAGACCAAAAAATTGCATGATATACAGTAATATGGAAAAACAAGATGATTTAAAGCATTTAAGTGACAGAAAAAATGAGGAAATCAAGTTTTTCACTTTATGTACTCACACAGAAGTTTACAAAGAAGTAAAAATTAAATTCATGTTCTAAAAACTTTTGTTAATATCAGGCCATGCTAGGTATAAAACCATTTTCCATTCTTCTTGTCCTTCTACCTCACTCCCTAAAGCACCCAGAATTAATTTTTGTTGCTTTAATAAGTACTTTAAGAATAAATACTCTATAATAATACACACACTTAATCTATACAACTACAAATACTGGTGAGAATTCTACCAATAAACCAACAATGCAAAAACCACAAATACTTTGGGACATAGGAATGGTCACTATTAAGATAGAAGATTATGAGTGAAAATTTTAAAAAAGTACAAAGAATGGGATTTAGCAATTGTGTAAAGGAAGGTGCCCTACCTATATGACAATAAGCATCATTAACACTCAGGACAGATCAGGAGTTATCAAAAGTGAAATTTTTAGGCTGAAGATGTAGCTTAGTTGATAGAGGGCTTCCTTAGCATGCACAAGGTCCTGGGTTTGATTCCCAGCATCACATTTAAAGTAGGTATGTGGCCTACACCTGTAATCACAGCACTCAGGAGGTAGAGGCGGGAGTATCAGGACAAGGTCATCTCTGGCTATGTAGTAAGCCTGAGGCCAGTCTAGTATACAAAAGGCCTTTCCCCCAAAAGTGAAATTTTGAACAACCAGTAAGTTTCTGAAGTCGCATTTGGGGCTTGAAATAATATTACTTCAAATAAAAGAGAAAAATATCAATATAACTATTTTTTAAAGGGCTGTACTAACCCCAGTGAAATTATAGACAAGATTTTTATACACAGTAAATGGATCAAGAGAACATATTCATTATAAATTCTAGTTTCCCTTATTGGTTGACATACTCAGACACAACAGAAAAAAAAACAGATACAGACACTAAAGGCAGAAAAACCAGACTACAGATATATAGGAACTGTTTCAAAAAGCTGCAAACTCAGGTGGTTAGATGTAAGCACCAAGAGAGAGCCCTCACTAACCAAAAGGATACTTACAAAATTCCACCCAGTCTTCCTCCTGTCTCTTCAATGTAGTGTGTGTGTGTGTGTGTGTGCGTGTATGTGTGTGTGTGTGTGTGTGTGTGTGTGTGTGTGTTGTTAAATGTGTGTGTATTTAAACAGGGTCTTACTATGCAGCCCTGGTTGGCCTGGAACTCTATGCATAAACCAGGGTGACTTCAAACTCAGAGATCCGCCTGCCTCTGCTTCCCTGAGTGATGAGATCAAAGGTGTGCATCACAATGCCTGGCCTATTAAATTTTTTAAACATCCTTCTACTTACTGACTTTTTTTGGTTCATTGAACAAATCTCCCCCTACAAATGTCACTATTATATACAAATTTTAGCCTGATAACTCAATCTGGGGGTAATCATTTAATCTACCATAGCCCTTTGATTGTTTTACTTACAGATTATTAAATACTACAAGGGTTTACTTACAGGGGACTTCAATAGACAATTATGAATGGATGAATATATTGGTTAAGGTATCAAAGAAAAAACAGCCACTCCATTTTCCTTCCCTCTACATCAAGCGACAGATATGAGAGCACCTGCTCCCCAAATTAAGAGTACAAAGAAGAGGGCTGGAGAGATGGCTCAGAGGTTAAAAGCAGTGGCTCTTTTAAGCAGAGAACCTGGTTTTGAATCCCAGTACCCACATGGATCCAACACCCTCTTCTGTCCTCCACAGGCACTGCATGACACGGGTGTACTTACATTCACGTAGGCATAATATTCATACACATAAAAAAAAGTTTTAAAAAAGAGTATAAAGAAGAAATGGGTTTGGGCCAAGAGAAAAGTCAGTAAAGGAAGACAATATCTGAGAGGAAGGGTAAATTCTACTGCCTTTATAGACTAGCTAGTATAGCTACCTTCCAAGCAGCATTAAAGAGAAGTTAAAATGTAGAGTGTAAGAAAGTATGTCCCATACCTTGCTCACAATTACTAAAAGAAGGCTACAGAGATTATATATAGCACTATGGATAGATGAACCAAGAATTTTATGAGGGAAAGAGAAAAAAATGAACACAACATTTAAAACCAACATTGAAAGAAAATGAAAAATTCAAAGATGAATAGATAACATAAAAGCACTGATAACACAGAATAAGACCTTAATATCATTAGAGATATATGACTATACAGCCATACGTTGTATAACATTTTAGTCATCAGTCAATTGCATATATGATGGTGGTCCTACATTATTATAATGGAGTTGGAAAACTTCACCTAAAATTTTCACTGTACCTTCTACACTATGTCACAATTGCCTGCTATGTTCAATATATTGCCATGGTGCACAGATTTATAGCCTAGAAGCAATAGATTGTACAATATAGCTACACTGTATTTGTGATATAAACTCTGATGTTTCAGCAAAAAAGTAGCTTAAAAACACATTTATCAGAATGTATCCTTGTGATACATGACTATACTACAGTTATATATAAAACAAAGAATGAAAACTTAAAAATACAGTTCTTGATGCAAAAAATGACTACATAGGACATTGTAATCAGCTTAAAATTGAGTAATTCATTACAAAAGGTAAAAGGACAAAGACATGAAAAGCATGATATGAAAAGTCGATAGATAAGAGAAATAGGAAATGAAAAAATAAAACTACCTTTATTCATAGATGACAAAATCTATAGATGGAAAATCCAGGGCTTGGGAGAGTAAAGTGCTTGCCACAAAAGCAAAGAACTGAGTTCAGATTCCCTAAGTGAGCTGGCTAGCTAGACTAGCTGGATTGGGGTTCAATAGATAAGGTAGAGAGGGGCTGGAGAGATGGCTCAGAAGTTAAGAGCACTGCCTGCTCTTGCAGAGGACCTGGGTTCAATTCCCAGCACCAACATAGCAGCTAGCAACCAGCCTAACTCCAGTTCCAGAGGATCCAATGCCCTCTTCTTACCTCCGTGGGCACTGCATGACGGGTATACTTACATGCATGCAGGCAATATACTCATACATATAAAATAAAAAAATAAAGAAAATATTTTTTAAAAGATAAGGGAAAGAGTGATTAAGGATGGCACCTGAGGCCAACCTCTGGCCTCCATGTGCACTTGCACACATGTATACATACGTGCATGCACACACACAAATACAAAAAAACTGAAAGAAAAAAGGAAATACAAAAGAATCTACCCAAAACTATTAGATCCAATAAATAAACTCAGCAAAGTTCAAGGGTACAACTATAAAACATGAAAGTCAGGTGTAGCCAGGAGGGGTGGGTCAAGTCTGTAATCCCATATTACGGAGGTAGGCTAATCTGTGCTATAGAATGAAGAGCTCCTGTCTCAAAAAAAAGTTAGTTTTATTTCTATACACTGAGCAATGAGGAACCCAAAAAGGAATTTGCTATGGTTTAATGTTCCATCAAAATCATGTTGGAATTTAATACCCATTGTGAGGCTCTGAGAGGTAGAAACAGGCAGAACCTTTAAGAGGTGACTGGGTTATGAGGGCTCCACTCTCTTGAATGGCAAGGTAGTAAGTTCCAGGCCAGCCTCAGCTACATAGTGAGACCCAGTCTCAAAAAGAAAAACAAAAAAACAAATAAAATTACTAAATCAAAAAAGAAACAAATACATGTATTATCTACAAGTTATGAATGGTAATGATCAAAGAAACTAGAATAAGTAACTTAGTGTTTAGGAAGTGAGGCAGTAATATAACAGTTCTTTTAATTTATTATTATTTTTAATTGATTTTATGTTTGCATATTAGTTCTATAACTTAAAATTAACAGCCTCAAAAATTAGAAAAATGCAAACCAGCAAATATATGTAAAGAAGCATATATATTACATGTATCTATGTCTATAAGAATGCATTTTCATAATTATGTTGATATAAGTATTAATATATCCTATCTGGAAATACTAACAGCTATGTTTACAGGCTTGGGGATGTGACAGATTTTATTTTACACACAAACATATATTACTTATATAGCAACAATGACAAATCCACTGGTAAACATTTAGAAGATCTCTATGACATATGATACAATGAAACATTTCAGTTTGCAGACCAATGTGTATGCTGCACAATTCTATATTGGAGAACATATTGTCTTATGTATGTAAATAGATCTATGTAAGCTTAAAAAATCAAGAAGGATAAGTACCACATTACTAGTGGTTACCTCTGTGACTTGAACAGGTAGAAAAGGAAAATAGGATTAGGGATATGGCTCAGTGATACAATTGCCTAGTATGTGCTGGATTCCTGAACTTAATCTCCAATACTGAAAAAGAGACACAAAAAAGAGAAGAAAGGAAAAAGAAGGGAAATAAACTTCTTACATTATATAGATGCACATTCTCAATCTGAAAATCTGAACTCCAAAATCTGAAACTTCATGAGTATCAACATGATTCCACTTGTGGAAAATTCCACATCTGACCAACCTCATCTAATGAAGTGCAGTTAAAGTGCAGGTGCATTAATAATAGTATATAAAATTGTTATATAACATATAACATAAATGAATTCTGTGTTTAGATTTGGGTCCCAGTCTCAAGATATCACATTATGCATATGTAAATACTGTAAAATGTGAAGACTACAAAATCTGAAACACTTGTAATCTTTTTTTTTTTTTTGGTTTTTTTGAGACAGGGTCTCCCTGTAGCCCCAGCTGTCCTGGAACTCACTATGTAGACCAGGCTTGCCTTGAACTCACAGAGAGCCACCTACCTCTGCCTCCCAAGTGCTGGGATTAAAGGTTTGCATCACCACGCTCGGCAACACTAATCTTTTAATCTTAATCCTTTTAGAGAAGACTCCTCCTTATTATTTAAATATTTTCTTTGATAATTTCATATATGCATATAATGCATTCTGATTATTCTCACCCCCACCTTTACCTCCCTTCCACCTCTATCAACTATCTTCCTCCCAACCAGTCCCTTTCCCACATTTATGTCTTTTTTGTTTTGTTTTGTGACCTGCTGAGTTTAACTAGTGATGCCTGTATGACCATACATTTGGGAGTATCCACTGGAGCCTGGTTGGTTTACCAGTGGGTACAAAAATGAAGACAATGTCTTCTTTTCTCCTAAAATCTGTCAGTAGTCAATAGTCCAAAAGGGGAAGTAGGTGTCATGAGCTCTTCCTACATTTTATTTGTCTTTTGTTTTTTTTCTGCAACAAGGTCTCATGTAGCTCAGGCTGGTCTCAAACTCACTATGTAGTTGAAGATGACCTTGAGCTATTGACCCTACTTGCCTCCATTTCCCTAGTGTTAGGATGAAGGCATGGGTTAACATGCCTGGCTAGAAATGTTCTACTTTTTAAAATATTTTATTATTTTTCTGTGTATGCGTTTATTGCCTGCATGTAGGTAAGTGCACCCATGTTGTGCAATGCCTGTGGAGGACAGAAGAGGCTGTCAGATCCCCTGGAACTGGAGTTACGGACAGTTGTTAGCTGCCATGTGGGTGCTGGGATTTGAACCTGGGTCTTCTGCAAGAACAACCAGTGTTCTTAACCACTGAGCCATCTCTCCAGCCCTAGAATGTGCTACTTTTTTGTGGCACTGGGGCAAGCATTCTATCACTGAGCTATATTTCCAGTCCTTTCAGAGGTTTAGAAAAAGTCATGGGATTATGGATATTTGTGTTTATTTTTCAAATAAGTTAAACCCCTCAAGATATTAAATTATTACATCTACTTATTTATTAATTGTGTGTGTGTGTGTGTGTATGTTGTGCCACAGTGCACATGTAGAGATCAAAGGACAACTAGCAGGAATCTGTTCTCTCCTCCCATTATGTGGGTCTTGGGGATCAAACTTCGATCGCAAGGCTTGGCAGCAACTGCCTTTACCGGAGCCCCAAAACATGAAATCAATACTATAAAATTGTTATGAGGAAATGGACAAATTTTCTCTTTTTTATTAGTTTTATTTTTGCAGTTTTTCTCTTATATTGAATTTTTTTTTTGTCTTTTTGAGACAGTATCTCCCTATAGCTCCAGCTGCCTGGAACTCACTCTGTAGACCAGGCTGGCCTCGAACTCACAGAGGATCCACCTGTCTCTGCCTCCCAAGTGCTGGGATTAAAGGCGTGCGCCATCATGTCCGGCTCTCTTATATTGAAATTTAGAAGTATGTTTCTTCTATTCACTAAATTAATCTATAAATATTGCATGCAAGTTCCAAGATAATTCAACATCTATTTCTTAGACCCAAGATAAATCTGCCATTTCTACTAAGTTCTGAGCAGTTTCTGCCTAGCTAGTCATGGCCTTAAACACTGGTTACTTCAGAATCTTTTAGGAGAGAAGGCATTTCCTTAAATTCATAAGCAAAGAATAAGAATTAGAAACAATGATACTTACATGTAAACATAACTCGCTGGGTACAGAAGTTATCACATTCAAGTCTCTTTTGAACACTGATATATTAGCAGGCTGACTTGCAGCCACATTAGACAGAATCTTAGAGCCTGGCTGTTGGAAATTTGGAGATTGTACAGGGCTATCTTGAATTCCACAATGACTGATGGCTATGACTTCTGGCATTGGATAGGACAGCATATCTTCAGCAGAGGAAGAGAATGGAGAGTCTATGCTTTGAGTATCCTTCTGACTCTCAGGATAGATGTTAGAAATGCTGTGCTCCTGATAGAGCAAGTTTCTTAATTTTTCATCCAAAGTTTTAATTCGGTTATCTGTAAACTCCATTTTTGGAGGTCGTTCACCATCTGATTCCAGAACAGTAGCAGGTAAAAGTGTAGTGGGTTCAAGGCCAGGAGTCTGAGTGGCAATGACTGTCTTAGGAGAACTTGTTTCAGTGTTCACTGTGGTTTCTCCTTCTTGGGAAATAAACTCTGCATCCACAGCTCGCTGCTGTACTGATAGGGATTGAGGCGTTTGATCAAATACAAATACTGAAGTCAGAACAGTATTATCACCAATCTGAATGGATTCACCAGGATGGGTCATAAGCACATCAGCCAGAGTGGCAGCTTGCTGGCATGGATATGCAGGTACAAACATGCCTGCTTGGCTGGTGAGTCCCTCACATTCAACTGGAATTGGACATACCAAAGTAGCAGAATAATTGTAATTATTAGTAGCTGGTGCCATTATCTGCCTGTCATCTTCCACTTGATAAAGTATAGTTGGCTGTTCAGTTTCTACACTAGCACATTCAGAAATCTTACCATCAACTACATCCTTGTGCTCTGATTTGGAGGTGAAAAGTACACTCTGGCATGAATTATTTTCTATACTGAATAGTGTGTCCTGTGCTATTTCCTTATTACTTGTGTTTCTTGAACCTGGAAAAATAACAAAGGAATGAACTGATGAGTACAAAGCACAAATACAACTCAAAAGGGACAAGAAAAACAAGGGACAAATGAAGACCTATTTGAGAGTACACTTGTAAATAAGACCCAAAATACCACAGGATTCAACCAGTTAAGGAAAATAAATTTTTGTTTCTTCATAAATGTTACATAAAAATAGCTTAAGTTATGCAGTAATATTAATGTCTTCTAAAATGCTTATAAAAATTGTCAGGAGTATAAAATATTCTGTAAACAAGTTAAAGATACAATATGTGATTTGTACTCATATCACCCAACTCTGAACAATGCTGGAAGACAATTAAAAGCTTACTAGGAAGTGGATGTAACCCAGGAACCATAGCCATGGAAGGCTGAGGGGAAGGAGGAGACTGAGCCTCACGATTTCTTATTGTTTGATTGATACAGAATCGCCACCGACCAACTGGGGATGACTGCAGGGCAGATTCATCTGTAGAAAGAATTATCAAAAATTATATGCTAAATAATTGATTGCCATTGAATGTTATTGAATAAAGTACTCAGGAAAAAAATAGCTTGTGCTGCATCTCCATTTCCAACTGTACTAGAACAATTATAAAGTATAAGAGTAACTTCCCAACCTTAACAAATAATCTAAAGAACTAAATACGAGGTATACATTAATAGCAATCAGAAGCAAGGCACTCTATTTGAGTAACTAGGAAGTAGTTTTTCCATTAAAATTTAAAGCTCTTGTTCTACAACCCGATTGTAGTTGTGTTTAAGTAGCATCATGGTGGCATGAATCCATACAAATATTAAAATTTACATAAATATAAAACAAAGGAAATAAAAGTAAATTTACCTTATGACAATATAAAAGTAAAGTAAAACAAGTCCCTATATTTGTAAACTTTCTCAAGTAATTTTCTTTTGAACTTTACCTTACTTTGTCAGTCAGAAACCTGCTCAGATTTCTGTTAACCAACAAAATAAGATACAGATGGACTTTGGCATCCTAACACAGTTGAACTAAACTTCAGGATAATGGTATCTGGTTCCATTATTCCCACACCACCTTTTGCTTCTTCATGCTGTTATAGTTCTTCAGAGGTCTTCATGTTGCTATGGTTCTTCTCCCCCTCCCAGACACTCTTAATATACCCATGACCAGAGCTAAGAAGAATGGAGAGATAAAGTCAGAAAAGTAAACAGAAGAACCCCAATTTTAGTCTCTGGATGCTTTCCAAGTGTCAGATTTACAAAAAGTTATCAGTGACCAGAGCTGATAGAAGTATATCAACAGTGAAATAAAATATGAATTACTATTAAAGCATGAGGCAAATGTAGAACAGAGATTTTAGTGAAGATACTTTTGTCCATCTCATGTCAAAGTAAACACATTACCAGTTAAGAGTCAAACAGGCTGTTAAAGGTCATCACTACTGTGACTGATTTTTCTAGTAACATGCTATGTAATAACCCAGAAGTAAATGAATCAGATAAAGAATCAATATTTTGGACTTTTTATCTTATTTATTTTTTTTATTTTATGTGTATGAATGTTATGCCTGCATGTGTGTAAGTGTACCCGTGTCATGCAGTGCCCACGGAGGACAGAAGAGGGCATAAGGTTCCTTGGAACTGGAGTTACTAAAGGTTGTTAGCCACCATGTGAGTGCTGGAATTGAACCCAGGTCCTCTGAAATAGCAGTCAGTGCCCTTAACCATCTCTCCAACCCCTAATTTTGGATTTTTATCTCTGGGGTATAAGTTTCTTTCAAAATGTTAGAACCATAACAACTTATCAGATCATCTTATTGGCTAATATTTTTCTCAATGAAAGTAACATCAAGATTCCAAGCATCTTGCTACAAAAGGCAAACAATATTTTGTTAAATATACTTACTGCTGGTTTGAGTGGATGCAGAACTTATCTGTACTTGTTCAGATGATCCTATCTGAAATAAAAATAAAGAGATAAATGAAGTTCCTAATAGATATCCAAAATGACCTACTTACTAAACAATTGTTCTTACTTGGTTAATGTTGGATTCCAAGATAACAGAGTCAACTCCAATGGATTTTTCCACAGCAGAATGAACATGAAGGATTTCCTGGGCTTGACCTACAATAGCTCTCAATTCCTCTACAAATTTTTCTTTCTCATTTTCTAGCACAAAGTTATCTTCAACCTGCCACCAAATAAAAGCCAGATACTGATGAGAATAAATTTAGTTTCTTCAAAATTATAATACTTTATTAATTGTGAGCCAGGTTTGGCAGCACATGCCTTTAATCCCAGCACTTGGGAGCCTGAGGCAGGAGGATCAGGACTTTCAGGTTAGCTTGGACTACATAGCTCAAGTCTAGCCAGGCCTTTGTAATGAGACCATGTCTGAAAACAACAGTATCAAAAAACAAAAAGAGAACGTAACAGAGGCAGTGTTTAAAATTAGGATGTCCAAACCTAAAGGTTTTCTAAATCAGAATGTGAAAACAATTCCAGAAATGAGAAATAATGGCTTATGAACTTTTGGGTTAAATATGAGTGAGAATAGAAAGTAAGACAGATCAGAAAATATTCTGTCAAGCTAGAGGTAGAACTGATGAAATTATTAATTAAATCCTTTTAAAAAGATTTATTTACTTATTTTTATTTTATGCATGAGTGTTCTGCCTGTAGGTATGTAGTTGTATCATGTGCATGCCTGGTGCCTGTGGCGGCCAGAAAAGGGTGCCAAATTCCCTGGAACTGGAGTTACAGATGCTTGTCAGCTATCATGTGGGTGCTGGGAACCAAACTCAGGTTGTCTGAAAAGTAGTAAATGCTCTTAACTGTGGCGCCATCTCTCTAGCCACTATACATATCCTTTTAAGATATGTGTGGGAATGAATTAATGGAAAGAAAAATAGAGAGGGGAAGAAGGAAGGAGGGAGAGAGGGAAAGAGAGGAAAAGGAGAAAGAATAAATATACTAAAGAGAAAATAATTCGGTCTTACTATACTTACCATATAGTCTGCAATATCCTCAGGCACATCACCATCAACATCAAACTTGAAAGTGACCATTTTGTTGTTGTGTGTTTCAAGTTGACACTCCACCATGTTGTCTCCTGAGGTTGATACCTAAGTACACATATTTAACCAGTTTAACAGTGACTACCTTGGCTGGGGATGTAGCTCAATCTTTGGTGTTTGCCTAGCATGCATGAAGCCCTGGGTTTCATTCCCAGCATCTCATAAGTCAGGTGTGGTGGTGTATATCTGTAATCCCAGAACCTGGGAGGTGGAGGCAAGAGGATTAGAAATCCAAGGTTATCCTAGTTACACAGTGAATTTAAGGCCAGTCTAGGCTACATCAAACTTTGTCTAAAAATAAAATCACAAGAGCACTGTCTTTTCTTTGTAACTTATACAGAGACTATCTAGATGAATTCACATACAATATGTGCAGCAAACAGTTTAAGTAGTTCAGAATATAAGGTCTGTTTGAGTATAGTGAATCACCACCGAAACAGTCATATGATGACAAATCTAAGAGGCCAAATTATTCAGTAAAAATAAGATGTATGATCCTGTCGGAAAGAAAATAGATTGTAAGACAAGGTCTAATTATGTAACTCAGGCTGGCCTGGAACTTGCTATGTAGCTCAGGCTGGCATTGAACTCACAACCCTCTTGTCACTACCTCTCAAGTGCTGGGATTACAGGCAGGCACTGCTGTAGCCAGCTCAAGAAAATATAAATTTTATTAAAAAGCAAAACAAAAAACAAACCCTCATCGTTACTGTACCTATTTGCAGTATAATATCTGAATTTAAATGCATTCATTTTTAAAATGCTCATAATCTAGGAACGTTTAGTTAGAAATTAAAATTTTAAATTTTATTCAGGGTGCTGGAGATTGAACCCTTGACCTTGCACATGCTAATCATACACTCTATGACTAAGCTATACCATCAACCCCCAAATTTTCATACTCATTAACCCACTAATTCTACTTCTGGATCTATCATTAAAAAAGCAGAGATAAATAGACACACAACTTTATGTTCTAGGATGTTTGCTGCTCAGAGAGACAGAAAGACACATGAAGAGAGATAATAGAAGATAGAATGTTAGGAAAAAGACTGGCAGACAGAATGAATCTAAACGAAGAATAAGAAAAAGGATGATGAAATTATATGTCTGTACAAGGACCATGTAATGCGGCCATCTAAAATATATTATTAAAATTGTTTAACAGTATAAGAAACATGTACATAATGCACTCAGATTTCAAAGACAGGATACAAAGCTATAAACAGGCTTAAGAAACATACATCATATGGCTTAGAAATATAGGCTTTAAAATCTGATCTGGCTTCAGATCTCACTCTACCATTAGATAGCTGAATGCCTTTATGCAAATTACTTCTTTGATCTTAAGTATCTTCAGTTGTAAAGATGGATTATATTTCTATTACATAGGGTTTTTGAAGGGTCATGATAAAAATGAATTTATAATATTTGTGATACCTACCACAAAATAATTTAGTGGATACTAGTAGTACTATTACAATCTTAAAATGTGAAACACTAGACATACACATAGAAAAATGATGAAAACTAAAAAGCTAGCAGGAACGAGCTCCAATTGATGTTTATAAGGATTTTATGTTCTTTCTTTTATTTCTCCTATAATCTCCAAATTTAACAATTAAAATATAATTTTCTCATCAGAAACTTCGAGTGAAGGAAAGGTTAGTTTACAGAGTGTTCAGTAATATTTGCACTTACTGCCACAGCACTGTTTCTGAGTATCCAAGAGTTCTGTATACACTGTAATCAAGCCAAAGCTACACACTGACCTGAAGGACAGTAAGCTGAAATTTAGTCCCTTTCTCTGGCCGGGGACAGGAGGCTCTTCTCTGTTTGATCCGATCCTGTTTGCCATTTCCACTTGGGTGATCAAGGTTATTGGTATTTTCTTTCATGGCTGTTACATCTTGATTTAAGCTAGTGATTAAAAAAAGTAACTCATTCCAATTCTGATCATAGAAATCTAAAGAAAACTTAAAATTATAAAATTGTTAGTAATAAGTTTAAGGAAAATCAATATAACATTCTTTTAAAACTTATGATCGAGGGGCTGGAGAGATGGCTCAGCTGTTAAAGAGCACTGACTGCTCTTGCAGAGGACCTGGGTTCAATTTCCAGCACCCACACGGCAGCTATGAACCATCCTTAACTCCAGTTCAAGGGGAATCCGAAGCCCTCTTCTTATCTCCGTGGCATTGCATGACACGGGTGCACTCATATACATGCAGGCAATACACACATACATATGAGATAAAAATAATAAAATATTTTTTAAAAACATGATTGTGTAACTGTGAATATACTAAGTACCACTGAATTACACAACTTTAAAAATTTTTTTAATATTTTATTTATTATTTTTATGTGTATGTGTGTATTGCCTGCATGTAAGTGCACCTGTGTCGTGCAATGCCCACAGAAGACAGAAGAGGCTGTTGGATCCCTTGGAACTGGAGTTATGGACAGTTGTTAGCCACCATGTGGGCGCTGGGATCCAGACCCGGGTCTTCTGCAAGAACAGCCAGTGTTCTTAACCACTGAGCCATCTCTCCAGGATCTGAATTACACAATTTAAATGGGAGAATTGTATGATATGACAATTGCATTTCAAAAAGCTGTTTCTGAAAGTGATAAAAATGAGATAGCATACATATGGTCACACATTTTCTCATAAGAATACGAATAAAAGAAAAACACTGTGAGTGACTGTACAATATTTTGCTAGGGGACACTATTGATCAATTTTTAATTGTTTGTTTGGAGTTTACTTCATTAATATATTCAAATAAAGCTTCTAAAATAAATATAAATTCTCATTCGAAATAAGGGATAGAACTCAAGAGAGGATAGGCAGACTATAGGAGACAGGAAAACTGCAGGAGGCAGAACAAGAAATGAAAATGAGTGATATAAGATGGTTCAACATGATTAACTGTAGTTATTTATATTTTTAAGTTCAAGTCAACATGATTATGAAAGTGCAAGCTTTTAATTTATTTGTAGGAAACACATTTTTCAGCTTTTTCTTTAATAACCTTGAATGGAACTAATACAAACATTCCAATAAATACACCTGGATTAGTAAGTACAATGGACTTTTTTCAAAAGCATCGTTTATTGTTGTTGATTTTTTTTTGACAGGGTCATGATGTGAACCAGGGTGGCCTCGATCTGGCAGAGATCACCTGCCTCTGCCTCCTGAGGGCTGGGATAAAAGGCATACGCCATCATACTTGACGTTCAAAAACATCTTTTAAATTTTAATCTTTTGTAAGTCATTTCTTCTAAAAACTGCTCATGAAGCATCTCTGTGTACATTAAGAGATAAAAATGAGAATGATTTTTTTTCTATGTCTGTATATAAAAGAATTTACATAAGTTCAGGTAGTTAAAAACTGACACATTAATACTGCTCCTAGGCACTGGGGATGTAGCTCAGTGGTACAGTGCTTGCTTAGCATATACACAGGCTAGGTTCTATTGCTAGCACTCCCTGCCCTCCCCAGCCCTTCTAGAGTTTTAAAAATATACAGAGAAATGGTAGCAACAAATATTATCAGACGATAAGAGACAATTTTAGTTCATGAGACAATATTATTCACATTCAAAAGGTAATTTAAAAATACTAGCTTAGAGATGAGTATGGTGCTGCACTCCTTTAAACCCAGCACTCACTCAGGAAGCAGAGGCAGAGGCAGGTGAGTTCTCTGTAAGTTCTAGGCCAACCTCGTCTACATAGTAAGTTCCAGACCAGCCAGGGCTATATAGTGAGACCCTAACTCAAAAAAACAAATAAAACAAAACACTAAGAGTTTTGGAACGAGGTGAGAGAAACTCAACTTTTCTTCATCATTTCCCCTAAGTACAGCTTTAAAAATTCCGGAAATAATTGGGGTACCCCTTCACTGGGTCTATCTAAAAGACTCCCAAATTGCATAACTCTTATCTGTAAGGAGAAAAGAAAGTCCTTGATTGGTGAATAGGAGAAGTAAAGGGAAGAGTAGTTAGCATTACAAGTTCTAGACAGGGAACCAGAAAGAAAGTCAGAACGGGGTAAATTTCAAATGTTCATATCAGACAGAGTTCATTGGGGTTTCTTGACTAGAGCTTCCAAAAGCATCCCTCCATTGGGTTCCTCCTCATTTTTCTTTTGTCTTCCAAGGCTGGACTCGAGAGTGATGGACTCAGGATTTGTTTCAGGCACTATGATAGCTGTTGCAGTGGTTAGAATCAGTGTCAGTTCCCTCTCAAAAGCTTCTAGATAGGGGGAGACAACCAATTTAGCCATCAATTTAGAACAATAGTGGGTTATTTCCCTTAGCTACAGGTGGGCACTAGAGTATTGAAGACCAAGATTTGAAGTCCTACATCTGAGCAGCACTTTCTGCTTAGAAACAGAATAATCAATGAGAAATAATTGTCTAAATAACATTTTATATGGACTTAAGCCTAATATCTGGGACATGTCCCGATTCCCTATCAGCAATTTGGGTAACCTCTTCAGAGGATGGTGTGATAATAGGAGGTAGGAATTGGATAGGCAGTTAGGATAAAAAGACCTCAAAGACAAGTAGCCAGTTTCTTGGTTAAAAGTCAAAATGTCCTTGGGCCTCATAGCAACATACTCTGTTCCAACGGCCAAAAATGTCAAAAGTATTTGGGAGCTCTTATCTAATCCCTAAATGATTTTAGAGTTGCCTCTTCAGAGGGGGGAATGTTAGAGTAGCAAAAAGCCACATTGAAAGAAAGAAAAGAAAGAAAGAAAGAAAGAAAGAAAGGAAGGAAGGAAGGAAGAAGGGAGGGAGGGAGGGAGGGAGGGAGGGAGGGAAGGAAGGAAGGAAGGAAAAGAAATAAAGAAAAAGAAAAAGTACAGGAAGTTGTCAGGAAAAAGTGATGGGGAGATATGGGAGGTGTTGAAGGGGAGGGAGTGGGCGTGGATTTGATCAAAACACCTTATATGCATTATGAAATTCTCAATAATTTTTTAAGTTAAAAAATTCTGGAAATAAGAAACCAATCAATCACAGGAGGGCAACAAAACTGAAAGATGAAAGTAGAATGGCTAAGAACCCCAAAGGCTTGAAAAACATAGCAGCTTGACATCTCCCAATAGGCCATCAAGCTCACTGTCTCCTGTCTCCCAGTCTAGATGAAAAAGTAACCTAAACCCAGGGTCTCCTGACTGCTAGCCCAGAAGCCAATGATAGACTCTTTCTTCTGCACTGGAACTGGTGGTAGCCACACCAATACAGTGTGTACTAGAAGGCTGGCCTAGGGAAAAACTCTCTACCCTTTGGCTCCATGGTGGCATGCAATGGGCCAGGTGAACAAAGCAGACCAGAATAATATCACAAGGACTCTGAAACTTAATTTTCATTAGAATCCCAGTCAGAAAATATGAACCTAAACAGAGGGAATGTATACTAAAACATAAGATTTAAGTAGGACCCAAAGTATCCTTACAAATTATCTAAAACGATCAGAAAGCACATGAAAATAAAATCCCTTGTCATATCAAAACCCAGGAAAATCACAACTTCAATGCAAAATAGACAATCAAAAGTTATCAATCCCAAGATAAATCAGATATTGGAATTGTCTGACAAGGGACTTTAAAACTATAATAAAAATGCTGCAAAGGACTGGAGTGTAGCTCAGTGTTAGAGCATTCACCTATTATGTACACAGCCCTGGGATTGGTCCCTAGCACAAAAAAAGAAAGAAAAATGAAATAAAAAAGAGAGAAAGAAAGAGAAAGGGGAAAGGAAAGCAAAAGGGAAAGAGAGGCAAGCTTCAGCAAAGGACTGAGTGGGAAAGTACTTGCCAGGACCATGGACTCTATCTCCAGTAATGAAAAAAAATAAATTCTTCAGTGGGCAATTGAAACTACCCTTGAAGCAAATGAGAAATATATTGATGAGAAATGGAAGATAATAAAAAATTAACCAAATGGAAATTATAGAACTAAATATAGAATCACAGGAAAAAAAGTCATTGAATGGGGCCACAATAGTGGAATGAACAGGATACAGTAAAGAATAAACAAACTTGAAGAAAGAACAAACAAAATTATACAATCTGAAAAACATATAGAAAAAGACTAGTTTATAACTATGAAATAATAATCCAACTATATATCTTCTTATAATTTAGTTCTTGACATTAGCTAGAATTTTACTCTACATAATTTTTCATTTACTTTATTTCATTTACCCTTTTAAGCTTTTCATAGAATAGAATACTATAAATAAAATAATGACATATGGTCAATAATTTCACAATCCATATGATCAAGCACTAACATTCCTCCCATTGTTACTAATCTTATAAATATAAGAAAAAGGTTGGTCATGGTGGCACATGCCTTTAGTCCCAGCACTTGGGAGGCAGAGGCAGGTGGATCTCTGTGAGTTCAAGGCCACCCTGGTCTACATAGTGAGTTCCAGGCCAGCTGGGGCTACAGGGAGACCCTGTCTCATATATATATGAAAAAAATTGGTCTAGTCAAGATACTGCAGTAATTACATGCTTCAGTATACTCTGTTTTGATAGTATGAACATGATGATACTGACCTTCTAACTAAATCTGCTTTTTGAAGAGTTGTTTGTTGTTCAGCTCCAACTGGCTGGAATACAGGCTGCAAATAGCATAGAAATAAGACCTATTATGGTAACAGTAAAATTCAAGCTAAAGATAGAATTTCCTATTTCAGAAAACATGATTGCTATATTTCATATTTTGCTTACCTTACAAACCAGGTAGAATGCCTTTACTATCAAATGCCTATATCAATCCTATTATTTACATTATTTTTAAAATATTTTATTTATTATTTTTATTTTATGTGTATGAGTGTATTGGCTGCATGTATGTGAGTGCACCCATGTCATGCAAAGACGCGGAGGTCAGAAGAGGGCTTCAGATTCCCCTGGAAGTGGAGTTAAAAATGGTTCGTAGCTGCCATGTGGGTGGTGGGAATCAAACCCGGGTCCTCCACCTCTGGCAACAGTGTTACCTATTAGTGAAAAATTCTGAGTAAGATATTCTTTATATAATAATGTAAATAGGGGCTGGAAAGATGGTGCAGCAGGTAAGAGCACTGGCTGCTATTGCAGAAGACCGAGTTCAAATCCCAGCACCCACATGGCAGCTAACAATCACCTGTAACTCCAGTTCCAGGGTATCTGATGTCCTCTTCTGACCTCTACGGGCATTGCACAGCACACGTGCACTTAAATACATACAGGTAATACATTTATACACATAAAATAAAAATAAATACATTTCTTAATTTTTTTATGTTTTAAAAATTTATTTAATAACCACATGATTAGAAGAAGCATTTCATTACAGCTTTAACATAGTCAATAAAAATTTCCAGAGCAAAGATACATGTCTTTCAAAAGTGGCTGTAATTTTTAAGTTCACAGTTGAACTAATAACGTTATACACCTGAACTCAGTATAAGCCCTGTGAGACATAAAATTGAGTTTTTAACCTTCAGAAAAGATCTCCATTTCATTTTAAAATATATTGTTTCTTACAGCAGAAAAACTCGTTTTTAATGCTACTAACACTTAGATGTTTGCACATGCATCTCTAATCTCTATGTATCTGATTATTACTAGTCACAGTCGGTTACACTCAGATCCTTGGCACCTGAATATGGCTATAATGTCATCAGGTAGATTTCAATGGCAATGTTTATCACCTCTACTAATTAACACAAAGTAAGTTTTTATGCTTCCTCCTCATATATAACTCATTTTTTTATTTGTTGATTTTTTTGTGTGTATATCATAAAGAACATCCCAAACAACCTTATTCATCTATATACCCACTTCCCAAATGGCACCCTCCCATAGCACCCTCCCCACTGGAGCCCATATACTCTGTCATCCTTGTTACTGTCCACTATGTTGTCAGCGGCCCTAGCTATTCCCCAGTGCTTGTCCATCTGTTTAATCTAGTCAGCCTATATAGAGAGCCCTCTTTTAGGAAGATCAGCTGTTCCTCACCTAGCAGCAATCAGTTGTCAATATTCCTTTAGATAAGATTGGGGTCTGCTGTTCATTTTCCTAGCTTTAAACTGGGTTACTGTCTGGGAGTCTCTTGGGCCACCGTGGCCAAAGGAAGGTATCACCTGTCTGCCATTGTTTCTTGTTATGTAGCCTTTAGCTATACATATGGACTCTTAAAAATTATATTGACCCCTTTAATCTTTGTTTATACTTTCCTTTTGGGTGTTTAAGACCCTACAGTTGGCACAGATAAACCAATTTATTTTTACTCTTAAGGTCATTTGAGGATCTGTTCCTCAGGAGTCACATGGGCTTGAGAGGAGGCCTTGGCTCCTTTCTTTTACAAATTCCGCTATATGAAAATAAGTCAAAGGTGCTGCTCAACCATGGCTGGCTTCACTTGGAAGCGTGGATGAAATATTTCCTGTGTTGACCCTCCTCCTTGTAGACTGGACACTGGTTCAAGTCCACCGGGTGGAATCTCCATGGCCTCCTTGATCAAGAGGACAGGTGACTCACCACAGTTACAGGACATTTTGAGAGATGCTCATAGTCCCCTGGAACTTAGTCGACCTAGGAGGGCAAGGAGCAAAAACTCTCCTTTATGTCCCTCTGACCAAATGAGTATAGGCCTCAAAATAAGGCTGTTAAATATCCAATAAGGTTAGTTCCACCAGTCTGGTACTTTTAATTACCATGTGCTATGTAGATAAAGCTTGGAAGAAGACCAAACATTCTCAGATAAACCTCACCTAGGCAGATATTATATTCCTTGATCTACTTGTATGTATAATTTGTCAGTAGGTTGTTGGACTAATATGGTTCCCCCTGGTTTTTTAAAACTAGGTAGGCATTATTTATCTCTCACATTGTGTAACCCTTCCATCATGGTTTCCCCATTTAAGGGGCCCCCATTTTTCCCATTTCTCCCTTAGTAATACTCTTCTCCTATAGTCCCACCTCCTTTGAGCTCCTTCTTTCCCTTTATCCCCTAGGTTCCTTGTATAACCTTCCCTCACCCTTCCCCTTAAAATAACCCCATTTTTATCCATATCTCCCTTATTAACACCTGTTTCCTACTGTTCTTCTCTTTCAGATTCTTTCTTTTCCTTTACCTCCTTGGTTCCTTTTCATTATCCTGATTCCTGTAGCTATGTCTGGATACATACTCACTCATCAGGATTTGGTGCTAGAATCCACATGAGGGAGTACATATGTCATTTTTTTTTTCTGAGTCTGTGTTACTTCACTTAGTATAACAGTTTCTAGATCCATCCATT